GCTGTGAAGAGTGGGCAGATACTGTCCTGGCTCCTGGCCCCCTCAGCATTGGCCTGGCCTGCTGTGCTGGTATCTACTTTTGTTCCACTTCCCTCCCTAAATGGGCTCTCACTTTGCTCTCTGCCCAGAAGGCTGACCTGTATAGTTACCACACAGGCTCCTTTGTCCTCCAGTTTCTGGCAGGGCTCAGCAACGGGGGAAACCTGGGGGAGGGAAGGAGGACCTGGGGTCCTAACAGAGCTCTCCTTGGGCTCTGGTAGCAACCTCTACACTTTGTGCTTAAGGGCCACTTGCAGTCCCGTTATAGCTTGTGTCCTGCACTCTCTATGGTTCCTTACAACCCTCTGTGTGTCACTTCATTAAGCCTTCTTCAAATTATCCTAATGTGGATAGGCCACCTGTTTTCCTGCTGGGTCCTGCCCAACATAAATGCTTACCTGACTGCTCAGTGAAGCAACTGCTCACATCTCCAGGAGAGTTCAGGGGGAGAATGGGTCTGGGGAAGACAGGTCAGGTGGCTCTCAGGGAGAGTCACGTCACCTGGTCATGTCACCAGACAGGGGCTTCCACCTGTGAACCATTAGGCGGGAGGCGCCAGCCTCTGCTCACAGAGCAGTGAGGTAACCGCCTCTGCTGCAGGCAGTCAGAGGAGGGGCCCAGCCCCAATTAGATACAGAGGGATATCAGTAGAGAAGGCTCTAGAAGGATTCTGCATTCACTGGTAGAGGCAGGGAGATAAAATGTGGATTTGGGGTGACTTTTTCCTTTGTTTCTATTTCCAGGTATTTGGGGGAATACAATGTTATTCTGTAATGAGAAAACAATATGGTGAACTTCATTTTGGAAAATGAAAGAGTGGGTGGAGCCAAGGGTAGGGCTGTCAGCATGCTCCCCACTTGAAGGATTCCTACCTTACCCTTATCCCCCACCAGCCTAACTTCCAGACTCTAACTGGACCTTAGACTTTGCATGTGCTCTCTGTGCACCATTTTGCTGTGGGCCAGTGAGAGAACAAGGTGCAAAGCACTGTGTAAATGGTCACAGAAAGCGGAGAGCTGTGTCAGTTACTTTATGATTCCTGTTCTCCTTATGCCTGTTTCTCAGACCCCACCAGGTGTACCTGCCTGTCAGTCTGATCTAATGCTGAACCTAGTTTGCTCTGTCCGCCCCCTGGTGTCCACATTCATGAAGCTCTCTTGCATGGCTGGCGCCATGTCTGAGAAGCACACATCCTGCCAGCTGCCTTATGCCAGGGAAAGCCCAGAGCTGGCCCCAGGTCTTGGCTTTGCCCTGACTTGCTGTATGACCCTGGGCTAGTACTTTGGCTCTCTGGGCTCTTTCCCTGTATGTACAAAGTGGAGATCAACCCCCGCTAGCTCCAAGATTGCTGGACTGGGGAAAGAAATTTCCCTAGAAGTGATCACTCTGCTTTGCTTCACCTCAACTGGCAAAGCTCACAACCCAGGCCTCTTCCACAGTGGCGGGGAGAGGGAGAGAGAAGGATCCTGGAGCAGGGCCCTGGGTCCCTTTGAGAAATAGAGCGCCCTCTATGGGAGTGTGTGGGTTTGACTCCCATCAGCCCAGGGTGAAGGAAAGCCATTAAATCAAATGAGGGAAAATAAATGTCTTCTATGGATTTTGTGTCAAGGCCATCAGTGTTACTGGAGGGTTTAACTTCCTTCCCTTTGTGGAGCTGAACCCCGAAGGAGGAGGCCAGGCCCAGGAAAAGCCTGGCACCCAGCCTGGCTCCGTTAATGTTTCTTTAATAGAGTCCAAGATATTCACAGGACAGAGGGAAAGGAAGGACAGATAACGAAATCCCTGAATGATCTCAAAGGTCTCTCATGACACAGAAGCTGTGCACACAGGTCTGTGCACACCAGAGCTACCCAGGTCAGTCAGCGAGGGCAAGGGCAGAGGCTGTGGACACCAGTTTGATGTGGCCTTCAAAGCCACAAGTGTGATCTGCCTAACACTGTCCCTCACCACCCCTTCCCAACTTATCAGCTCCACTTTTCTACCACTGGGATGGGCCCAGGCTGTCTCACTTCTGTGCCTTTGCTCAAGCTCTACCATCTACCTAGAATGCCTCTCCTCAAACCCATCCAGCAGAGCCTCCCTATTTCTAAGCAGGCCCAGCTCGAACCAAACCCTAAGAAGCCTTTGTCTTCCCCTTGTTAGACTTTCCCTCCTTCTCACACCTCCCAAGGCACATTGTCTGTGTAATCAGATTACCTGCTCCTGTCTTATATGGGCAAACCATAACTAAGGGTAATGTCACTCAGGAGATCTTAGTGGACAATTTTCTTAATGGAAACAAATGTCCGACAGTTTGTACTAAAGATGTCCTAATGATTGACTGTGACTGATGCCAATAGTGACACCATGCCAAGCTCACCAACTCATTGAGAAGTGAGACTTACCTTTGTGTGGGGTCAAGAGACCATACCTGCCATTCCTCTCTATTCTAAGCAACTAGTGACACTCATCTAGCCTAGGCAGAAGAGAACTTTGCATTGGATACGGATTTAAGTTTTAAAATGACTAGGGAAGAGGCCTGAGAAATGAAGCGAAGCTGTCTGAATTACGAGGAAAGTACTGCGTTATGGAATCAGACAGAGATGTTGATACGGGTTCCACTACCTAACCAGAACAGGGGTCCACCTAGCGTAGCTGGGGACAATTATTGGAAAAACAAAATGGCTTTAAAATTTATATTCTAGTAATTTACGACTGCAAAAACCTGGTTTTATCTTAACGCAGCTGCTGCTGGTGGCCTCTGCCTTCTTCCCTTCTGCACTTCGACTTGGCTTAGGCAGCCAGCTCCTGCCATCCTGCTCCCCTTGGCCAATAATCCAGGGGTGGGAAGACAAGCCGATCCTGGCCAAGGAGATACGAGGGACAGCTGCTGAGGGATCTCTGAGAAATATGTCTCTCACTCCCAAGAGGCACTGAGAGCAAAAGGAGGCAGCACTGTGACGCTCATTCCCTTTCGTCCTGCTCAGAACACCGTGCTTGAAGCTCAGCTTGCAGTTGAGACAAACACCAGGAGCCCATGACAGAGCTGTGATCTCTGTACTGTGGACATAAAGTGAGGATCCAGCCAGGCATCCAGGAGGCAAGCAGAACCTCCCCCAGGTTGGCCCATTCCTTTTCATACTGACAAACTTACATTTTCCGCACCCATCACCATCTCCTCTTGGTTCGCATTTTTGCTCTGGGTATAACAACTGTTGAATTATTAGTCACTTTGGATAATCCCCTTTTTAACAGGTCAGTCATACAAAGCACCCCACTGGTTGTTACTGGGCTCTGGTGGCTGATGGATACAACACCTCGAAGTGTGTGCCCAGCCCAAGGGCGAGGCATTGCTGCGTGCTCAGAGTGGTGTGGGGGCTAACAGCCTGTTGGAGACATGTGAACTCCCTAGAGGAGACATCTAGCAGAAGACTTCTTCCAGGAACAGTTATGTCCTGTGAGAAATCCATTCCATCTGGTTTAGGTGGGGCTGAAGTTTCCCTAACTTTCCTTTTCTTCACAGAAGTGGGCATATGACCCCAGCAGGCCTATGATCCTCTTGGAGTCCATTCCTGCCCAATCACTTTCTGTAGACTGGACAGGGAGCTATTTCATCTGTTTTTCTAGTATCTTGGGTATCTTTCATTACCCATGGCCATGGAAGCTTCTTAGTATTTTCTCTGGAAATTACTTCTTATGCAGTTACTCACCTTCTAAATTGTCCTCCTGCAGAACTGCTTTCTTCTAGACTTCAGGCCCTACCTACTACTAGCTTAGAAAAATCACAGGGGCATAGGAACCTTCTCTCTCCTCACAGCCCCAGTTGTCTCCCACTGGATCCCAATTCAAAGCCTCCACCAGCCTAAGACACTTGGCCTGGGCAGAATGCTTGAGCCATGCAGCAGGGGCTCCATCTTGCTCTGATGCTGGGAAGCACTGGCAATCTGTCCAGAAAGCAGCCTGGGTGTGCCCACCACAGCAACTGGCAAGTGAGGAGGATTACCTCCCTGCACTGACCTGACCTGAGCTTGTTTTGCCCACACCATCTTTGGAATCTCATGACTGTATTCTCAGAGGAATAACAACCTTTCGATCTTTCTCTCCCTTGATACAACGCCGCTCCCTACCCCTATCAAAACACAAGCACCTCTCTCATTTCTCTACTTCCTTCCCAGACCATGAAACGTCTACTGCTTTTCTACTAAGAAATTGAATCAGACCTGGCTGTTGGCCTAACCTGGTGAGGAAGGACCTCTGTGGTAGACTGTGTTATTGTTCAAAACACTCCGGGTCCCTTCCCCAGCTCCGTCCCTGCCACCTTCCCTCCACTCACACACAACATTATACACCCCTGCCTTTTGAACTCAGGAGTGGCCATGTGACTTGCCCGGGCCAGTAAGATGTAGGCACAAATGACGATGTCACTTTTGGGCAGACCCCAAAGGCCAGCTGCACTTCTCTATGTCTCTTTCCTCTTCTTTGTAAGGACACTGGAGTAGGTCCTGGAGTGACAATAATGTAGAGAAAAAGTGCAGCTGACCCACACTGGACATGTGGCAGGAACAAGATGGAAGTCTCAGCTATTGTCAGCCATGGAGGTTTCAGGGCCCTGAGCCTCAGTTGATTGATAGAACCTCTCAGGCCCTGGTCAATAGGGCCTCTTTCTCCACAGTTGAAAGTTCTCTCTGCCCCAGAACACACTCTGGAACTGGAACATCAGGCCCAAGACTGTGGGGAGTAGCACTTCCCAAGTTTTGCAGGGTATAAAGCTGGGGTCTTTGTACTTGACTCTGCCATTTTCCCCTGGTCATGCCTGGATCTGGTCTGACTGGCCCTGTTCCAGGTCCCCCACTTTCCCAGGGCCCTTGGCTTGGAATAATAACACTCCCATAACTTCTTATTCCAGAGCAAATGACACAGCTCACACAAGAGTGATCAGTGGTTTCATTTTAAGTGTCCACATTGCTTGGAAGTAAACATAATCATATAAAAATTATTTTTATTAAAATAGAAAAGCTTTCCAGTATATTGCATTGAACACATTTATATAGAAAAAAAGCAATTGCAACAAACATGCTACATCAGCTCTGAGATATTCTGAAAGCCTTAAGTGCCCACTTTAAACAACATTTTGGTATAATGAGCATATCCCCATATTTCAGAGGGTATACATAATACTGAAAAAAAAAGACTTCATGTAAAATCTAAATTTAGGTGCATATAAAGAAGTATTACATCGAATAGCTTATTTCAAACTGTGAAACACATTCAAAGTATTCAGTTTCTTAGGCCATATGCAAACATTTTAATACTTAGATTGACATTTTTAAATATATAAACCACTGTTCTTTATAATTCTATATCAAAAAAGACAACATTTATTATACTGTGCATATCACAAAAAGCAAATGTGTCTTCATGAACAGAAAATATTGGGTTAACACACATGATTGTCATTTTACAAATATGGCTATTCACCTTCTTCATAATAAAATAGAAAAATCATGTATTATTTACATGCACTACTAATTATTTCACTTTTTGGCATTATATAAGTAGCAGCAATTGGTTTAAAGAGTGATGTTTAAAAACTCTAAATTTAACTCTGATGAATACTGGAGAATATATATTTGGTCACTATAAAAATGCACACCACAAGATGCCTTGATGCCATATAACTTTTCCCTTTCACAAAAGTCAAAGACACACACTAGTAACCACTGAGCCTATCACCATATACTATGTGAGTGCCACTTGGTTAGCTTTCTTTGCTTAACACAACAGATGGGTTCCTGAATTAAATTTCTATAAATTAAGTGTGATGATTTACATGATAATTTCAAAGATGTTTTATCTTTACTTCATACTCTAACAACAGTGGCTCTTCACTGTGACCCCTAGAGCCTCTAGACAGAGTAGGTAAAACCTGTAAACACACACACACACACTCACAGACACGGGGGCACTTTAATACCTAAAGGGACTCTGAAATGAGGTTTCTGGATATGAAGCCCATAGTAAAATGAGTTTTTTTCTAAAAAGTGATCATTTCACTTATCGATGATCTTGAATTTGTTTTAGAGTGGGGGACCCATTTAAAGAACAAAACGTGAATAGTAAGGCAGTGATCCACCAGAGATATCCTCTTTTCATTACTATTTGGAAGAACTTATTTTAACATTTGTAAAAACCAAACAAAAACCCTACTAATATTGGCAAATTAAAAAAAAAATACTGTGTGGTGAATAGAGGTGACAAGTGCTTTTACTTGACCGCTATTAAACTTCAAACCAGCAGTTCTGTATTTGTCTTTCACAAGGTAGAAAACTCAGGTGGAGGAACATTTTGCCCTTTTTATGGGCAGTCACTTATGTGTCCAGACCATGTGCAAAGTGAGGCCCAGGCTGGGGAGGAAAAAGCAGGAGTGGCAGGGGGGACTGGCTCCGATGCCAGCTGATGGTATACTGCTGGAGACTTGTACCTGGGAAATGATGAGGGCAGAGAGAGGGACGTGGGATGCCAGCGTAGGGCTATCGGAGTTGATAAGGGATTCGATCTTCTCTGCTTCTTTATTGCAGGCCTCAATCTGGGGGAGGAGAATCAGATTCTCTTATTACAAAGCCACAGAATCCTTGGAAAGGTCAAGTCAGACAAATTCCACTACATCCTAACACAGAAAAATGTTTTCTTTGTCCTTCTATTCCTCAAAGTAACATCTTAATAAAGTCTTAATTTATTACACAAGTAACAACAGCATCAATGGCAATCAAATTAGAAAAGACCCACAATACTACTAGCCTTTCTCTGCTCACATCCTGTTCACCGTTTATCTACACTTAAACATTATCTTTATGTGGTTAAACAGAGCCACAGGGATTGGACTTCCAGTGCCTACTTACACATCAGCAGGCAAGCACTTAGGCTTAATCAGCTTCCGGATTGTGGTGGTTTATAAACTGCTTGTAGTCCCCCTTCACTTGAGCCCTCACTATTTTGATGCTGACATTTGGGCCTGCATGAGTGAGTGAGGTTCACGTCTAGATTGTCAGGAAGAAAAATGGGGGCCCACAGGACCAGCTTGGGGGTGCTCCCCCTCTTCAGTGAGAACATGGTCTTCAGGGGACAGAAGTCTACTCTGGCTGTGTCACTGTGTGACCTGGGTCAGTCCCTCCCCTCCCTGGGAAGGACTCAGCTTCCTTATTTGTATGATGAGCAGATGCCTTCTGTCTCGGCACACTCTGAGCCAGTGTGCACCCTCTCCAGCTCCTTTGCGTCCTGTTGTCCAATGTGTACCCAACCTCAGCCACCTGGAAAATGCTCACCAGGCGCAGCCCTGTCCTTCACTAACTGCGTAGCTTTCCTCCCTCCTACTCTGCCTAGCTTTCCAAATGCCTCCGTTTCCTCACCCGCTTCTAAGACCACCTGAAGATAAGTCAGCAGCATATGCTGAACCCCACCTGCAAAGCTTTTGGATAATGATCAACAGGAATAATCAGGATCACAATTTCTGATTCAATGCTGAAGTACCCAAATACATCACACTGTGGAACAGACACATGCATGCGGATTTTCTGAAGTATTTCCAGAACTGTTATTGGCTTTTTGTTTGTTACCTAGAAAGAAAAAAAAATATTTCTACTTTTTCAAACAAAAGAACAATTCCATGTTAGTGCCTAAGCTGCCTTGCCTAAGAGGAAGAGGGTCATTTGACCAAGGAGCCCCAAAGTGCAGGGCCCCAGAAGGGCCCTGCGGACTGAATTCTAGATCTCCAGAGTCCATTCCAGTGGGGTTTTGTCCAAGCTTTGTGGCCCAGATAAACACTCTCATCAGAAACATTTTTTTTAAGTGACTGTTCTGAGTTGGAGGCCATAGGGAAATAAAGTCCCCTTCTTGTAAAAATACAGGTGTTTTAGTCCAAATGGGGATAGTTTTCCAGGTAGTGGCAGGTGTTGGCTGCTGTATTTCTGAAGCCCTGTCTCCATAAAAGCAAGCAGAAAAAGTCAGGTAGAGGCAAGGGAGAAGGGGAAGAAATATTATGAGAAGGTGGCAGGCCCTGGAAGCACCCCCAGGAGGAAAGGAGACTGTGAGGGGAGGAAACCCTCTGGGCATCTCCCAGTCTCTGGCTCCCTGGTTCTGCTTCTAGCCCAAACTCTGCTTACTATGCTAGCAAGGGACCTTTTCTAAGAAAGGCTCAGGCTGACTGATGTGCAGATAGAGCTCCCTACAAGCCAGGGTGTAGAGGAAAGGAGCACAGGGTTAGGAGCTAGACAGCCTGAGTTCAACCCTACTTCTGCTGGTTTGGAGCTATACAGCTTGCAGCAAGTTGCTTCTCTGCAAATTAGTTTCTTCATCTACAAACAGGACAACACATTCTTCTCTGGATGGTTACTGATAGGCTTATCAATAAGGTTTCAACAATATCTGCCACATAAAGCAATTTACCTGAGCAATAGTATCCAGTTTTTCTTTGTCAAATAAAACTCTTAACATCCCAGCACATAATGGACAACAAGCACCTGGATAACAGAAACCATATTATGTGTTTAGAATTAGAAACCAGGAGAATTCATAAAGTTGGTGAAATTACCAACCCTTCATTTTGTGCTGGGAGAGTTACAGCTGTCCTTATGGATGACTGCACTTATAGTTGAGTTTTGTGACCAACCTGGGGTCTTATAATCTATGTGTTTGCCAAAATCCTTCCTCCCTCCCTGCTTTCATCCTTTACCACTTCTCAGGGTGAGGCAGCTGTGGTATAAGACAGCACAGAGAGAGCTGGACTTGCAGGTGATGTGGGGCCTAGACCCTGCCCTGCCTCAAAATTCACTGCAGGATCCTGGGCAAGTGCTTTCCTGGGCCCTTGATTTCCTGTCTGCCAAAAAAAAAAAAAAAGGGAGCAAGTATATCAGGGATTCCATGAGTGCTAGAGTCATCAAATGAACTTTAAACAATATGTTGAACTGTTAGAAAATGCTAACAAGATATCACAATGTGGTCTCCAGGAAAGAAACTTTGCTTTGCTCACTGCCGTGTCCCCAATGCTTAGAAGAGGGCCTGGCACATAGCGGAAGCTCAGGAAACATTTGGGGAATCCATGGATGGAGGAATAACTTGTTAGATTCCAGATTAACCAGTCTGTGCAGACTTGGGATAAAGTATCTTGCACCTCTGTTTAACTGAAATGTAGGGACTGTAAGGTAAGCTGTTTAAAAAAATGGTTACCACTCATAATAGTTTGTATGAAACAAGATTTTCTTGATCATATGTAACTAAATGAAGTAGATACTAGGGCCAATCTAAGACAACTATCCTGTTTTCAATTTCAAATGTTTGTGTTTATCAAAAGTACTTCAACTATTCATTCATTAATTACTAATTCTTTATTCATTAAATTTATAATAAATGTTATACATTCGAACAAATAACCATCATTTTAGTAATTAAATGCTGAATTATCTATTTACATTAGTAACAGTTTGGTGTGAGATTTTGCTTGAAAAAATTGGACACATTGTTTTAAAACCTGCAGACCAGATGATGTCTAAGGTAATCCACAGCTTTTTAAGGTCAACATAGAGTAATGCATCTAATCAGCACCAGGTAGAGTTAAGACTTTTTGAAAAGCTTAAATAAACTAGTCAACTCTCTTCCCCTCAGTAACTCACTCTCTGGAAGTGGACAAGCAAGTCTCATCCATCCCACCCCTGCCCCACCTCAGATACTGCCAGCCTACCGGGTGGGATGATGGGTTTGCACTCAGTCACTGAGAGCGAAAGACACTTCACGGCAGCACACTCGGCGATGGAACTGTACTCTGAGAGGACCCCGACAGCCTGGCAGGGCCCATGGTAATCGACTGCTACACGATCCGAGTAGGCAGCACACACGCTACTATATGTCTCTCCATTGTGCCCACAGATGGGCTCTGTGGCTCTGCAGAAGGGCTGAGGGCAAACAAAGCACATTTAGCCTGAAAACCTCTCTGTGGTGCACTTTTCTTAACCAAGAGGGCAGAGCAGGTGTCCTTTATTTTCAGGAAAGAAAAAGGACGCAGGTATAAATTCTGGGACCCTTTTAATTAAAGCTCCTGAGGTCGGCTAACATGGGGTAGGGGCTGTCCCAAGATGAACTAGAGAGACTACTTTTCTCAGCTCTTCTGGGACTTGGGTACTCATTCATTGTGCACTGAATGAGATTAAAGTCCCCCTTCTTCCAGGCTTCTATTACTCTAAGTGCCTACTGAAGGAAATAAGATCAATCTTCATGCAAATTTAGAGGCCTTATCATCTCCTGTTAGGTATGGGACGAGTGGAGAGATCAGTGGGAGATGACTGCATCCATCAGGTAAGTTAGGAATATGTAAGAGAAGACTTGTAGCCAGGAAGAAGGAACAAGTAGGAACTGACGACCGGGAATTCAGAGTAGAAGGTATCAATGTACTTGAATACCAGAGCTCTGAGGGAGACAACCTGAAGGGATCGTCCTGACAAAGAAAAACCAGGAAATGAGAAGCAGTCATGTGAGGTATTAGCTGGCTGTGGGCAAGATGCAGGGCCCACAGACAGGCTCCCTCAGGCAGAGGGGCCAGCACACAGATCAGGCGTGCAGGTGGGAAACCTCAGTGCAGTTGTCTTTGGGGTTATTTTAGTGAACACAGATTTCACAACCCTAAAAGACTGAATGGCAAACTGATGCAAAAAGACATTAAGTCTTCGAGAAATTTCCAACCACTTTCAGTACTGTGGGTGGGACTTGGGTGGGAAGAGTGGAAAAGAACCCTTTTCTTGGTTGTTTTAATTTGAATTCTTCCTGAGCTGTTTTCTAATGAGGGCCCACAGAACTATGGAAGGTGAAAATGGTGCTGACTCATGCCAGTGTGTGCAACTTCAAATTCTTTCCTGAAGATGAGCAGCAAGAAACCACTCTCTTCTTGCTTGTACACGTGATGTGCAATGGTACACACACTAGCAAGAGAACCCTCTGAGTTAGGAGAAAAAACTAGTCTTGGGGTGGCTCGTTTTTGGTAGAGAACTGAGTTCTCTAGATTTGACAGGATTCACAGAAGACCCTCAAGCAGTCTTACTGCTGATTCATCTCATAAAACCGAGTTTATGCTCAGTGTACTTGGGTTTGTCAGCTAAATAACTGTACCTGGCAAGGGCCTTTGTATAAGAGGCTTTTCCCTCTCTGGTACAAAGTACAGAGATTGCTGTGCTCCATGTGGTTTGTGTCACAAACAGGATCACGGACCTGGTCACAGGTGAGCTGTCGTGGCAAACATTCATACTGGCTACATCCAAATTTATCAAAAGTGGTCAGGCAGACTTGTGGTTTGGGTATGCATCTGAAAAACACAAATGCAGCACCCTGAGCCAGTGGCAGAAGGGACTCCTATGGGGCCAGTAAAGAAAGCACGGACAGGAACGGCGACTGAGGAGACAGCAGAGAGCAATCAGAAAGAGTCCCTGGCCCCAAGAGCTTATGGAGAATGGGGAGTCAAGCATGTATAAAAAGTGGGCTATCAGGTAGAAAACTATACAGAAAAGTCATTCTGACTGGGAGCCTGGAGGATGGAGAGGGCAGTGCAGACCTGGGGCCGAGGGGGCAGCAGGAGCAAAGGTGTGGCACAGGAGACCCAGGGCAGGGGCAAAGGACGCACAGGCTAGAAGTGGCATATGAGAAGGCCGCCAGGTGGACTGGGGTCTGATGCTAGAGGCCTTGGTAGTCAACAATCAATGAAGCATTTTCAGGGGCCTAATTTTTAGCTTTCCTAATATGAGCCTATTTTAAGAGAAGGCTTCCCAGTATGTGCTGTAAATTTCAGGTTTCTGTGCTTACAAGACCGAGGACATGACATTGTCTAGTTGTTAATCACTGAGAGAATGCCACCCCATGAATTCCCTATTTTCCTAGCAATACCTGGGCCTTGCATCATTCTTAATTTCTGAACTTCTTTAGAAGGGTTAGGGATGCAGGTCTTTTCTTCTTTAGATGTTTCTGCCTCCCTCATTTTTATATAGGGTATTTATAATTTTTTGTAAGAACACAAGACCTCTTAAAATGTTTAGCTTTCACTGGGCATTTGAAATAATAGGATACACAAATATCAGACTATAAAATAAAAGGAGACTATAGTAGCTAGCATTATTTTAATCTTAAAGAAATAACTTCTACTCTTTTTAGGGATAAGTCTCCTGCACTGAAATGACCACCACCATCATCATCACTATTCGTTTATGATGGGATTTAAAATCAGAATGCACAGAGTTGTGGATTTCTGGAAATTTAAGATATCTGAAGAGAAATAATGGAGAAGAATATTAGTACTTCATTATCTATTAACATGGAAGGGATGAGAGCCAGGAATATCAGGAAAATTTGGTAAGTTGGGAAGAAGAAACGTTATCAATTAAAGTACACAGATATTAAGAGGATCAATAGGAAAGACTGAGAAGTTGGGGGATAAGTTAAAGTAAATATGATTAAGCCAGGGGCTTGTCTTGCTTATTGTTGTGTCCTAAAGTTTAGAAAGATGCCTCCTTCCACACCACACCAGGGTTTTCAGGAAGGAGAAGCAATTGGTTCTTCCCAACAAAACCCTTCTTAAGTAAAGAACTGTGGCACTGGGATGTGTCCTGATCAGGTCTCTAAGGCAGCTAGCCAAACCTCCAGTTCTAGAAGCCTGAGACCTAAGAGAGTTGGCAGGACACTTGCCCTGCAGCCACCACATACAGAAGTCCATCATTAAGGCTAGCTCAACTTACTTTGAGCTCATGAGAAAAGTACAGAAGAAGAAGCCCCTAAACAAATAACTTCATGTAACACCGACATTGCATTTCCAGGGATTTCTCATGTTCAGTTGCTAAGATGGAGGTAGGTAAGTGGAAGAAAATTTCCCATTACTATTAGGCACAAATAACTGATAATAAGAACACATCCATTTCTCCCACTTAATCAGCTACCTCTCCTTGCTTCACACTGGTTTCAGGCTTACACAACTGCCACAGCTCCCAGCATACACCACAGTATCTCTTCATTTTCAGCTGCCCAGATCTTCGCTCCTGTTGCTCTCTGCCTTCACCAACACCACCTTTCCTCCACTGTAAACTTTGCCTGTAATCTCCTCCTCTTCTTTCCAGCCTAGTTATCACCTTCTAGAGGCTTTTCCACACCTCCTCAAAGTTGCATCAACTGCTCCACATCAGGGCCTCCAGTCACTGCACACTACCAAGCAGCTTTACATGGCTCTTTCCATCTAGACTCCAAACTCTTCATCTTTGTATTTTCACTAGATGCTTAGTGTCAGTCTTCAGTTGGAAAAGACAAGGAGCCGTTTGATTTACCTTTGATTTTTTGGGCAGGGGTTGGGATTACATGGATCCTTTGAGATGCACGATCCAAACTCAAACTGATGGTCTTGGAGGCCCACACAGCGAGCAATGCAGGCACTGGGGTACGTGCGCCCATTCTGCCCACACACAGGGACGAACTGATCAGCACAGTTGCAGGGCAGACCTGAGGAGAAGAAACAGCTTCAACAATGCGTACTTGTACGTTCCCCTTCCTTTCATATTTCTCAGTTAAGGCAAACCACTAACAACCATGTGGTGGTCTCCTGTTAAAACAGAGTTGTAAGTTAATTAGGGAAACATCCCTGCAATCTCCCACAATGTTTTTAAAGATGGCAAGGCTCTGAAAAGCCATTTGTCTGTATAATGGCTTTCCTTTGTTCCATTTATTGCCATCTAATTGAGGGCCTCTGGACCCTGACCCACAGGTAGAGCGCCTTATAAACAAAGCTACAAAAGGGAAAATACTGTTTATCCTAGTCTGGTATATAGAATCTAGAATTTAGATGCTTAAGGTCTGGCTTGGGGGATTCCTGGAATGTTAAGGGTAATACCAAAAACAAGCCAAAGACAACTGGTATAAACTCCTCACATGGGTTCCTTCCACTCTCATCTCTGTAGGGAGAAGCAACATCTAGAAGACAACTTGGGAAATTATTTTGATTTAGAGACTTGAGAATTTTTAGGAATGTCTCTCTCTGAGTCATTGTGGGGAAAATGGAACTTTCTGACCAGTATTCTTGCTGGCCTTAATAGCACCCACTGTATCCTGTTTGCACATTTATGGGATATTTACCAGTGACAGAGTCCAAGGCAATCAAAGGAGTACCTGCCCAGGGGAGGAGTAGAGAGGAAACACTCATTCTCTCCTCTGCCTGTGTTCCTGGGACGGAATTGGCAGGCATCTGCCAGTCACCAGGGACCCACCAAGAGACTTCCTCCCAGTGTTAGAGGAGGGTCCTGAGGACGGCTACAGAGAGCAACCTTGGGAGCTGTACAAGAGGCGGTCCCTACTGGTGCAAGCACAGAGAGAGCAAGACATGAGAATAAATTCTTTAATCCCCAACTTCTTGCCCTTGCCTTAATATGGTCTCACCAAATTCACAGGGAACTTAGGCCAGGCAGGGAATCCTCTCCTCCCAGAGCTACAGTCATGTTTGGACTGAGGCATTATCTGAGTCCCAGGAAATACAGCACACTTTGTGGCCAGTAAAATCTGCTTAAAGTCTGCTAGCTGAATAGTCACTAACTTAATTTATTCTAGGACATTAGGGGCTACACACTAAAAAAGGGTCCTGCAAGTTGTAAAGTTCACCTTCTAAAAACATTTAGATGTAAATAAATAAATGTCTTCTATGTAAACTTTAGTTTTATCCCCACACCATTTTATGATTTCTCTAAGCAGATTTAATTGTCCTCATCAGAACAGAGCAGAGCAGATTAAGGACAATAATAAAGAATAACAACAAAAATAAAGCAGAAAGTGGGTACTCGTCAGGGTGGACACAGAATGGGGTGGAAGTAGTACTGCCTTTACCTTCCCATCTGTCTGCCATTCACTTATTTCTCATCTCCTTTCTTGTTTCCAATGGGCTGGAGATACAAGGCTGGTAAATCCCTATTCTGTTCCACTCCCACCCCACTCCATGTGTAATACTAACTCCAGGGAAAGAAGAATTGATTGCCGCTGCAGCAGCATGAAATAGGGCAAGGCAGCTACCTGGTTTCTCTTTACCCAGAACCAAAATATTTCAGATCTGGGGAAAGCAGATACCAGCAGATAGATACCCGTGGGCTGTGCTGTTGCTGTTGGCAGCTGCAGCTTCTTCTCGAGAAAAGAGCATCCCATCTCACTGGTACTATAGCTGGTGCGAGCATAATACTAGCTGCATAAAGCACGGGAAGGTCAAGAACGTAGTATTCTTGACTGATTGCACTAAAAATTCTTAAGTCTCAGAATTACAGTAATTTCCCAAGTTACCTTCTTGTTGTTGCCCCTTCCTACAGAGATGACAGTGGAAAGAACCCATGTGAGGAGTTTACAACTGTTGTCTTTGTCTTGTTTTTGGTATTACTCCTTAACATTCCAGAAATCCCCCAAGCCAGACTTTTAAGCATCTAAATTCTAGATTTTATGTAGTAGACTGGGAGAAACATTCTTTACTTTCCTACCTATAGCTTTGTTTATAGGCGTCTCTACCTATATGAACCAGAAAGCTAAGGAAGGTCAAAAAAGAAGGTGGTGAGAAAAACATAAGAACAGAAACAAACTTAGAAAATAGATGGACATTTTAGACATTACCCCATAATGATAGGGGTAAATGGGTATTTTACCAGGTAGAAAAGTTTCATTTAATTAAACCATTCCAATCACTGGCCTTGTTCTTTTGACGCATGGAATGCCAAAACAGTAGTGCTTGGAGGGCCCTAAGAAACCATTTAGTTTAAAGCCTTCAACTTACTGGGGAGGAAACAGAACCAGAGAGGGAAAGTACCCTGTTCTCAGATGATGTATTTATTTAACTGTGTACATCTGCAGTTAAGGTGAGACCAGAGAAGCTTGTAGTGCTTGGAGGGCCCTAAGAAACCATTTAGTTTAAAGCCTTCAACTTACTGGGGAGGAAACAGAACCAGAGAGGGAAAGTACCCTGTTCTCAGATGATGTATTTATTTAACTGTGTACATCTGCAGTTAAGGTGAGACCAGAGAAGCTGTCTTGAAGGGAAAACGGGTACAGAGGGATGGTAGCCCAGTGAAGACAGCTTCTGGGTGACATGGTTACCTGTGAAGGTGCGACGGTCATCTTCGGAACTGTGCTCACTGAGGCACAGGCGGGTAGAACACACCAAATTGCCAGCAAAACAAGAACAGATATTGCAGTCGATATTAAAGGATGTTCCATGACCTGAGAGAAAGATAAATAAAAAGTCTGATAAATCATGCATTTATAAATACATCATAAACAAAATTTTGATAGTTTTAAGTGTTTTAAGATAGAAATTGTTGAAAGATTATTTCTGAAGGGCGTTCAATCTACAATACTTACATTTTCATATTTACCTCCCACCATATCCCTCCAAACCCCTAACCTAATGTACCAGTCTCACCAGACTGCTCACTATGCTCTGAGGATGTTTCTGGCTGCCCTTTCTGCCTCAAATGCTGCCGTCCTCTTTCTAGAGCTTCACTGTCTCTTCAGGACAGACAATGCCATCTTTGGATGGCAGACTCTCCCAATGCTCTGGCAGGAATGACTAGCTCCTTGAAAAGCACTTGGTCTGCTCCTTTCTGTGGCTCAAATTCTCTCCCATTTTATCATGTAAAGCATGACCTCAGTCCCTCATCCCAGTGTCAGCTCCACAAGGCACTAAGATGTCATTCTGTACAGAACAAGCATTCAAATCAGTGAAAACTTACAGAAGAAATGAATTTGCTTCTCCTCAGATATTTTCTGTGGTGTAAGTTACTTCTTTTACATTTTAGCTAGGTAGAATATGGACTAAGAAATGAATAACTGACTTACTTTAGGGCAGAAATTTGAAAGCTTCTTTAGCCAAGAGTATTCTTCTTTCAAATAAGATCTCACAAAGAAGAGTAAACCAAGAGACATATAGAAGCTGAACTGCCTGGTTGATGGGTAAGGGGAAGGAGGTGGGGGTAGGACAGTAGAGTGAACAGGTATGGGGAAGTACATGCTCAAAAGTAGCATTTTTTTCCTACAGTTGTTGAAGTCATATATTGACACGGACAGTTGTTTGGGCAAAAGATGGTTAATAAGGAAGCAGTGAGAAAGCAAGACCCTAAGATGTTCAGAGAAGGCATCAAAGAGTGACACCTTTTAATGTGCTCCCTCCCAACCCCTAATCAACAGTATAGTTCCCATCCCCAGTCTGCTCTCCACAATGTCAAACTCTGACTTATACTTCTGGGTAAAGGGGCCCAGGGAAGAGAGACACGGCTGAGGAGGGAGTGGGGAGGAGGACACCCCCATCCTTGCCTGCAGAGGACAAGGGCTTTGGAGTCAAACAGGCCAGGAACTGAATTCTGCTTTTGACTCCTATTAGCTGGGTGACCTCTGTGAGCATCAGCTTCCTCACTATAGTACCTATACCAAAGAGCAACTGGGAGGATCAAATGTGGTAACGCAGCCCAAGACTTGGCCTAGTTCTTGGCATACAAATAGGTGGCAATAAGTATTAATTAATCATTATTAGCTAAAAGCCCCTTCTTGAGGAGGCTTCTAGAGGATTCCTTAGAAGTCCTAGTGCCTTGTAGAGTACAGTTTGAAAAATACTGCTCTGGAATATCTCCTTTATAGATCTTACTTTTCAGTAAGAATCCATCCAATACTCTTCTTACGAAGTTAACAAAAGACAATTACAGCTCAAGACTCACTTTTTCTTTTTCCTCCAACAATACAAGACTTCTGAAGATCTATACAGTGCATCTCCATACAGTTTTCTAAAAGTCCACTTTGTCCACATGAGCAAATTTTGTAGCAACCAACCTCCCCTGCGGATGATGGCACCTGGATCAGTGTCCCCTGCCGCACGATGAAATCAGAGGCTTCTCCCAATTTGCAACCTGCGCAAACAAAAATTAGCTGAGAGAGACAGTATTGTTCTATGGGACTGTTTAGTGACATATACTTCACATAGGTCTTATAGGTACTGTGTGGCCTCTGAAGATTATATAATAGAACTTCCACCAAGTTAAGGAGCTGGTTGGGTTCACTGGCCAAAAACATCCTCTCAAATGAAAATTCCATGTTCTGTGAGATGGTGGTGATTTAGGAACTATACCTAAAAGTTAGCTATAGTTCAGTACCAAAATGCTATATGTACTTTTTTTTTGGCTTTGGGCTTAGAAAGATAAAGACTATCAAAATTCTATCATATAAAAACTCTTCATTCTAGAGCTAGCCCTCCTCATTCCCTATGAAAATTTAAATCAGCCTTAAATCATTAACATTTCAACACATTAATCTTTACAGAGATAACTGCACATCCCACTCAGTATGCCATTTCTCCATATGTAAAGAAAAGAAGAGAAAAATCACAATGTGCAGTATATCTCAAACATTACAACATGGAAAAGAAAATATGAAAGGCTGGCTAAAGGTTTTCTCTTCTTTTGTTATTAAGAACACTCTAACTCATTATGAGTCTAGTTTTAGACTGATATTAGTTTATAATCTAAATAACTACTGAATATTACACTTGCCTTTGTCTTTTTTTTAGGTTTATTGGGAGAACTTCAAACATTACAGAAAAATATAATTTAGAAAATAAAGTTCTTTGTAACCTCACTCCAAAGAGAATCCCCACAAAGAAATGCCAGCAGCACATATCCACATCCATCCCACACCCATCCCATCTACATCTTACCTTCAACACAAGAGTGTGGAAGGCAGGGATCTCCAGATGGACATCCTTTGCGGTTGACCTCACAGAGCTCATTAGCAGGGCAAGGATTTGGGTTACAGGGATGAGTGACCTCTTCTACAATGTTACCTAAAGTACTTGGTCCTGCAAGACCAAAAACAGATCCATTTAACCAACCAATACGAGTAACAGAGTTCTGTTAATTATCTGAAATAGTTGTGGCTGGAACAAACGGAGAACTCATGAACATAAAGCAAGGCCAGATGCTAGCAAGTTACTAAAACACAGATTCTTTGGTCATCTGTCAAGTTAGCATAAACATACATACATTCATTCACTTGATTATTTATCAGGTATCTACAGTATGCTAGGCAAGGTTCTACACACTGGCAATACAGTTGTTAGACAGTTGTTAGGCAATACAGTTCTGTTAGACAAATCTCTAACAGAATTTACATTCTAGTCAGGAAATAGACATTAAGTAGACTTTGTGTATTGGGGTGTGTGTGTAAATAAAAAAGTCAGATAATATTAAGTAATAAGTAGTGTAAAGGGATGGAAAGTGACAGGTATATTTTGGATAAGGTGGTTAAATAGGTGTTTATGTCTAAGATGGATAATTTAGTATATTTTACCAGAAGTGGTAATAATTTATTATGGTAAAATGGATCCTGTACCATGATTTTATTTGTTAACTTGTGACATAATGACCAAGGAAGTGTCTCACTTAATATAAAGTGCATATGATATTTAAAGAGAGTACTGAAATTTTTAAAAAAGCATTTCTTTATTTTTCCTCCTTCTGTGTATATATTTGACTGTTCTCACAGAGTCTGGGCTGTGGTAGAGTAAGTTTTGCTTACTTGACTTTAGGCCAATAGAGGTAAAAGGGTTCTTCAGGTTTATCTTATCCGTCCAATCATTTTATAAATAGGGAAGCTGAGACTCAAAAAATTGGTATGTTGAAAGTCACAGAGATCTATATTCGAGTCTAATGCTCTCTTTTTTTTTTTGCTATCCTGGTCATAAAGGCTAAGGGACATAGCTTGTTCGTCTTGAGAAAATGCAGCTGATACTACTAGCTGCAAATCTACCACCCACTCTTCTCTTCCTGCTTACTAGTGGAGCTCCGATTTTACTTAGGGTGGCAATAGGCCCACAGCTAAACAGAGAATCTTTCTCAGTTTTCCTTACAACTAAGGTAGTTTTCCCTTATACTAGGATGCAGTGGCTAGAATTCTAGTAGCCATTTTAATGATAAAGTACATCTAATTATCTTGATGGTGGAAGCTACGCACTGAGGATGGTAGAGAAAGAAAAGGGAGCCTGGATTCCTGATGATTGAGCCACCATAACAGCGTTGGGCCATTTATTTCTGGGTTTTCTTTTACTTCAATCTGTTCTGTTATTCACAAACTTAATCCTACCTGATACAGGAAAGCAAAGTGCACAGGAACTGAATTCCCCATCCACCTTTGCAGCCAGCTCAGGAACCTAATGCCCCCTGGTGGTAGCTTCAGCTATTCCCTCACCCTAACTGGTGTGAGTTATTATTATTATTCTGGTTTCTAACACATAGTCACCTCCTGCCAGGAAGCTCAGCTCCAGGATCCCTCAATGAGATACCACCTTATTCTTCTAACTCTTGGCAGGAGTATTTGGCAGAGATAAAAATTCCACTTTCATGTGCTAACCCAGACCATCATTCCTTCCTCCCTGTTTGGTGGGTAAATCCAAGCCAATGCCTGGCTCAGGTCCACTGTACTGAGGACAAAAAGCTGAAGACTCCCTGGGGGAAATTCCACTTTCTGGTCAACCATGGCAAGGAGACAGCAATGATACGGAGCTGGTTATCTGAGAATGGTGGCCCATGATTCATGCTCAGAATTCCTGATTGACAGCAGTTCACCACCTCTTCTGACTGATACAGCAATCATTTCTGCTTACATATTTTAAAATGACAATTCTTCCCAGGGCCAAAAAAGCCAGGCAAATAAAGTAACAGTTTGCAATTGAGATAGCATCATTAAACCAGATACATGCTCATCCCAAACACACATCATGGTCAGAGATAGCAGGGAGAAGGGTTTGAAATCTGAAAAAAGAAGAACTTACTAAGGTATGTATCTAAAGGTATACAATTCTCCAGGTCATCTGTAGGTGACAGAAGTTCACAAATACTTTCAGCAGTATGGTCTTCAGGGAATTTGTTCTGGTCCCCACACTTCTTGAGAATCTCCACACAATCTGACCTTGAAAAGAAAAATACACACAAATTTAGGGTCCAAGGAACCTTCTCATGTTCTAGTCAAAATCAGTTCTACTTCTGAGGCTTCCCAAAGTGAATTTTCATAACAATGTTTCACAATTGGTTAGCAGTTAAGTACAGAAAAAAACAACAGAAGTCATAAAGGACCTCAGGCTGAACAATAAGTGACATATCACACTATCAAAGCACCCCTAAATGTCTCCTATCTGAGATCAAAGACCTTGCTCAAATTTTACAATCATTCTTAACTTACTGTTACCTCCACGACTGTGGCTCTTCAATGTCTCTGAAAGAAAAACTAGGCCAGTCTGCTCTGCTCTTTGCAAAATCACCCGTCCCTTCTTTCAGGACACAATGCTCGGTTGCCTCTTCCTTCCTCCTTGCCTGCCCTCCTCCCCTCCTTCTCCCCACCTTCCTTTTTTCTTTTTAAATATATCTTTAGTTATCAACATTAAGGTGCTTGGCCCATAACTATTGGAAAGTCCACTACTTTAAAGTTTTCTCAGTCTTCAATTGGGATTTGTCTCTTTTTCTATGAGTTTTCTGGGCTAAGAGTCTATAAATTTCCTACCCATTGCCTCTCACTTGCACCCAACAGTTACCTCTCATTTTTCCCCTACTCAGGTCATCCCCAGGTCATGTCAGATTATAGATCTGGATCCTGTTTAAGGCTGACATAATCTGCAATCAGTCATCAAATGCGCAGCAGCACTGAGCCACACACCAACTTAGAGACTGGGTATTAACTTGGTTTTGGAAAAGCTTTTTGGAAAAAAAGACGCTCATAGACCAGATAGCATATATTACTACATAGCTAATGCTTTGGGTTTCAGGCCATAGAAGCTTTCATCTTTACTTTCTCCTAGATCTCCTAAGCAAACCATCCATGAAATGTTTACTACCAACAGGCCCTAATGAATATATTCACTAACTCCTTCACTCTTCAAACATTTATGGAATACCTACTGTGTGTCAGGATTATGCTAAACCCTGAAAAGGAGAGAAAGAGGAAAGAGGAGACAAGAAAAAAAGAAACTCAAGGAGAGCAAAGTCTAACAGAATGTATGACAAATACAAAAATTAAAATATAAAAATATAGTTGTGCACTGAAGGTAATGCTTCTTGAACCAAATTCAGTAAGGGAAGAAAAACAGATGTCTATAGAAATTTGTAGTATGGACAAATTACTATCAGCTGGAGAAATACGGGGAGATTTCAGAGGAATGACAAGCATTTGAGAAGGGCTACGAAGGACAGGTAATGGGCAAATGGTGATGGGGGAAGAACATTTCAAGCAGAGGAGGAAAAAGTGAGAAAGCATTTGACATGTGGGGGTGGTGGGCAAAGGGAAGTGGTAGGAGGGAAAACTCTGAAGATAGGCTTTGGGAGTAGATTATGGAGGGTCTGGATCAAAAGTAGAGTCATTAGGATGAAAGAAACTTACTTGCAAATAATACTTCCTCGGGATTTACTGTGACAAGGTTTAATCTGCAGTGAACAAGCTATTGCTTTCCACATTTCCGGCTGGCACTTTTTAATGTCAAGAACAGGTATGTTGATAAATGGCATCTTTATGCTTCCTTTCTCCCACAGCTTCATATCATTCATGGCTCCTTGATCTGACTGAGCATTACAACTCCTGAAAAGTTCTGTTGGCCTAAAGAGAAAAAAGACCAGAAGGAATCAAGAGGCAATTATTTTCTAGAGAGAAGCAGCATGTAATATCCTGATATACTAATGCACCAGGAAAATCTGATTTTCTTAAATAAGAAAGTACATGCAACCCATCAAAGGAAGTCAGCTTTGAACATATGAACAGCATAGACACTAGCATTAAGATTCTGACTACATGTTTTCTTTTTTAACACAGGTCTTTGTGAGTCAATTAAAAACTTCAAAACACTTGGGACAGTGCTATCATCTCTAGGCCTTACCATTTCTTTCATTTCACAAAATAAATGAGTCCAAGTTTTAAAAATTAAGATATAATTATAAAAAAGAAAATGCAGATTTTATGATATAATCTGGTATGACTTGACAGATGTGTACATCCATATAAGCATATCTAAATCAATTAAGGAGTATTTCCATCATGTCAGAAAGTTCCCTTGTGACCCTGTCCAGTCAATGCCCTCCCTTCTGACTGTATCCCAGAGACTACCTCCATTCATACTAATATCACCAGAGATTAATTTTGCCTCTTCTAGAAATTTATATAAATGGAATCATGTTGTATGTACTCATTTGGGTCTGCTGTCTTTAACTAAACAATCTTTTTGAAATTCACCCATGTTGTTTATATAGTAAATTGTTCCTTTTTATTATTGAGTAATATTCCATTTATAAATATACCACAGTTTATCTTAGTGGTTCTCAAACTTTTTGATACCAGGACCCATTTCACTCGAAATTATAGGGTTCTCAAAAAGCTTTTGTTTATGTAGGTGATATCTACCAATATCACACAAATCAAAACTGAGAGGTATTTTAAAGTTATTAATACATTTAAAATGATAAATCCCTTAAATGTTAATATATTTTTATGAAAACTATATTTTCCAAAACAAAACAAAAATTAGTGAGGCTAGAACTATTTTACAGTTTGAAAATCTCTTTGATGTCTTAATAGAAGACAGCTGGATTTTAATCTATTAAATCTGCTCCTGCATTCAATCTATTCCTCTATCAGTCATATAGCATCTGGGAAACTGTTTCCTCGTGTAAGAATGAGAGTGAAGAACACAAATAACATCTTAGTATTACAAAAATAGTTTTGATTGCATGGGGGTTTTGGGGACCATGGGCCACACTTTGAGAGACCCTGGTTTATTCATTCACCTGTTCATAGATACTAAGGTTGTTTCCAGTTTTCATGTCTCTTTTCACAGCTATAAAATGCACTGTTGGATTATAATTTTCTGAGAAACTGCCAAACTGTTTTCCAAAGTGCATTTTACACTCTCACCAGCAATGCATGAAAGTTCCAGTTGCTTTACACGCTTTTCAGTCTTTTTAGTTGTGGCCATTCTATTAGTGTATAGTGGTATCTTGGTTATAATTCGCATTTCACTGATGACTGATCATGATGGACACTTTCTCATGCACTTATTAGCCATTCAGATATCTTCTTTCGTTAAGCATCTTTCCAGACTTTTGCCCCTTTTTAAAATGTTGTCTTTTTACTACTGAGTTGTAAGAGTTCTTTACATATTCTGGATATAAGTCCTTCATCAGGTATATGTATTACAAATATTTTCTCGTGGTTTATGGGTTTATGGTTTTTTGCCTTTTAATTTTTAATGGCATCTTTATGCTTCCTTTCTCCCACAGCTTCATATCATTCATGGCTCCTTGATCTGACTGAGCATTACAACTCCTGAAAAGTTCTGTTGGCCTAAAGAGAAAAAAGACCAGAAGGAATCAAGAGGCAATTATTTTCTAGAGAGAAGCAGCATGTAATATCCTGATATACTAATGCACCAGGAAAATCTGATTTTCTTAAATAAGAAAGTACATGCAACCCATCAAAGGAAGTCAGCTTTGAACATATGAACAGCATAGACACTAGCATTAAGATTCTGACTACATGTTTTCTTTTTTAACACAGGTCTTTGTGAGTCAATTAAAAACTTCAAAACACTTGGGACAGTGCTATCATCTCTAGGCCTTACCATTTCTTTCATTTCACAAAATAAATGAGTCCAAGTTTTAAAAATTAAGATATAATTATAAAAAAGAAAATGCAGATTTTATGATATAATCTGGTATGACTTGACAGATGTGTACATCCATATAAGCATATCTAAATCAATTAAGGAGTATTTCCATCATGTCAGAAAGTTCCCTTGTGACCCTGTCCAGTCAATGCCCTCCCTTCTGACTGTATCCCAGAGACTACCTCCATTCATACTAATATCACCAGAGATTAATTTTGCCTCTTCTAGAAATTTATATAAATGGAATCATGTTGTATGTACTCATTTGGGTCTGCTGTCTTTAACTAAACAATCTTTTTGAAATTCACCCATGTTGTTTATATAGTAAATTGTTCCTTTTTATTATTGAGTAATATTCCATTTATAAATATACCACAGTTTATCTTAGTGGTTCTCAAACTTTTTGATACCAGGACCCATTTCACTCGAAATTATAGGGTTCTCAAAAAGCTTTTGTTTATGTAGGTGATATCTACCAATATCACACAAATCAAAACTGAGAGGTATTTTAAAGTTATTAATACATTTAAAATGATAAATCCCTTAAATGTTAATATATTTTTATGAAAACTATATTTTCCAAAACAAAACAAAAATTAGTGAGGCTAGAACTATTTTACAGTTTGAAAATCTCTTTGATGTCTTAATAGAAGACAGCTGGATTTTAATCTATTAAATCTGCTCCTGCATTCAATCTATTCCTCTATCAGTCATATAGCATCTGGGAAACTGTTTCCTCGTGTAAGAATGAGAGTGAAGAACACAAATAACATCTTAGTATTACAAAAATAGTTTTGATTGCATGGGGGTTTTGGGGACCATGGGCCACACTTTGAGAGACCCTGGTTTATTCATTCACCTGTTCATAGATACTAAGGTTGTTTCCAGTTTTCATGTCTCTTTTCACAGCTATAAAATGCACTGTTGGATTATAATTTTCTGAGAAACTGCCAAACTGTTTTCCAAAGTGCATTTTACACTCTCACCAGCAATGCATGAAAGTTCCAGTTGCTTTACACGCTTTTCAGTCTTTTTAGTTGTGGCCATTCTATTAGTGTATAGTGGTATCTTGGTTATAATTCGCATTTCACTGATGACTGATCATGATGGACACTTTCTCATGCACTTATTAGCCATTCAGATATCTTCTTTCGTTAAGCATCTTTCCAGACTTTTGCCCCTTTTTAAAATGTTGTCTTTTTACTACTGAGTTGTAAGAGTTCTTTACATATTCTGGATATAAGTCCTTCATCAGGTATATGTATTACAAATATTTTCTCGTGGTTTATGGGTTTATGGTTTTTTGCCTTTTAATTTTAATGTCTTTTTGATGAGCAAAATTGTTCAATTTTTAACATTTATTTTATTAATTTAAAATATTTTATGGGAGTATAATTTATATACAATATAATGCACAGATCTTAAGAATTCAGGTTCAATTAGTCTGGAAAATTGTATTCACCCATGTAACCAAAACCCTAAACAAGATATAGAACACTTCCATCACATCATAAGGTTCCCTTAATGCCCCCCTCTGATCAATTTCCCCTTCTACTAGAAGCAATAACTTTCTGATCTTTATCATCATAGATTACTTTTGCCTATTCTTGGATCTCATATATATGGACTTGAAAAGAATATTTTTGTTTTGGGCTTCTTACACTCCATGTAAGATTCATCTAAACGGGTTTATCAGTAGTTTGGCCTTTTTTCTCGCTGTGGCCTACTCTATTGTTTGGGTACACCATAGTATGTTCTTTCATTCTCTTCTTGATGGATGTTTTATTAACTTTCCCCCATTCTGTGTTCTTAATAAGGCTGCTACATAAGTCTTCTTTTGGACATGTTCTCATGTCTCCTGGGTAAATGCTTCAGAATGGAATTGCTGGGTCATAGATTTAACTTTTTAAGTAACTGCAAGAAAACTCTTCAGAGCACTTCATTCATCTTATACTCGCAGTAGCAGTCTGTGAGTTTCACTTGCTTCACATGCTTGTCAGTATTTTAACTTTAGCCATTCTAGTGGGTGTTAAAGGCATCTCACTGAAGTTTTAATTTGCTTTTTGTATGACTAATTATAATAGACTTTTTCATATACTGAAATGGCTATTTTGTTAATTACAGTATCATTCATATACAATCTTATGTTGGTTTCAAATATACAACAGAGTGGCTCAACAGTTAACCCATATTATTAAATCCTCACCCCCTCTAGTGCAGTTACTATCAATATAGTAAGATGTTACACAATCATTAACTGTATTCTCTGTGCTATACTACTGTCCCCATGACCACCTTATACTGTGATCGGAAATTATTGTGCCCCTTTTCCCCTTCCTCCTCCCCCCCTTGGTAACCACTAGTTCCTTCTTGGTGTCTATGAGTCCACTGATATTTTGTTCCTTGTTTTGCTTTGCCTTTATACTCCACAAATAAAGTGAAATCATTTGGTATTTGTCTTTCTCCACCTGGCTTACTGAAACGGCTATTTTGATGTCTTTGGTGAAGGGTTCTTGAAAGTTTTTTGCCCATTTAAAAACCTGAATTGTTTGACTTTTTATTATGAGGTTGCAGGCATTATTTATATATTCTGGATACAAGTCCTTACTCAAATATGTGTGTGTGTGTGTGTGTGTGTGTGTGTGTGTGTGTGTGTGTGTGTGTGTGTGTGTGTGTG